TAAATAAATAAATAAATAAATAAATAAATAAATAAATAAATAAATAAATAAATAAATAAATAAATAAATAAATAATGATAATAGCAAATATAATAAAGTGGATTGTGAAATGAAAGAAAGAATACACAAAAACATGAATCAATGAATGAATCAATAAAACATTCAATTATCTTGATTGAACATTTTTTCACATTTGATATTTATTAGAAAATTTCCAAATAGTTTTTTATCTGTACTAAACACTAGAAAATTATCAAATATTTCAATTCATAATCGAATTTCATCAAGAGACTTAGTATTTCCTTTTAATTTATCGATGTGCTGACGATTACATGAACATGAACAAGGCACTAGGGATATCGAATAACAGAATTCAATTGGCGTTAAGTTTCTGAATCTTCTATCAAAAGTTTTAACTTATTAAAATAAGGTTAATTTACGCTACAATAGCCAACTTTCGAAATATGGCTGACTGGCCGAGCACAAAAGCCTTGAAGACGAGGCTTAGACAACTAATCGCTATGCTTCTCCTGAGCTTGAAGTTCTTTTCTTTCTGTGTGATAAGTCAATCATTAATTATAAAAGTGGGCTATTGAACCAATCGTTTTTTAAACACGAAATCTTTGTGTGTTCATCTAAACCTTATCAGCCTTATAGACCAAGCTCCTTCTTGATAAGGAGGACATATATGCAAAAGTGCGGACTAAAATCTAGCTCTTTCCTTCTAATGCATTTCTCGTTGCAGTGAAAATAAACTTTAGACAATTTGGACTGCATATATCCATTTGCGTTTGTGAATTCTGTTCTTTGACACGATGACTATAGGTCGTACGATAGCTCACTTTGTTCTTGTGTATTTCTTTATTTCATTTCACAATTCACTTTATTTTATTTGTTGTTATTCTTTTTGGTGTTACGATATGTTCCGAGGGTGTTCCGGGGTGTTCCGGGGTGTTCCGGGGTGTTCCGGAGTGTTCCGGGGTGTTCCGGGTGTTCCGGTTGTGTTCCGTATTTTCCAGACACTCGGTGGCCGACGAGAGTTGCCTGCCCCTGTCTCTTTTGGTGTTCAGCAGGTAAGTGACATTAAGCCAGTTAATGAATAACGTTCCTGGCGAGACAGCAGTGACTGGTACAACAAGGACAACGAATATTAACCGTTTGCGTAACGATCATTTGAATGAATTTCGTAAAATCAAGGGCTTTTTAGTGGCTAAGACGACATATTCAGCTAGATTCATTTCACATAAGTAAAACTTTATTTATCATCTTCTATCTTAAGTTGGACAAATTAGACAGCTTCTCGACAATACATCATATTAAATTTCAGTATTGGACCAATCACATCTCTTCGATATCATACTCCAGCAACGCCTGCTGGAAGTTGCAGTCTTGCCCGACAAAAGGGTACGGTATACCAGGTTGTCTATATTGGATTTGGAGACTACCGTTTATAAAAGATTGTACCAGAAGTTGTAAGGATGTTCGGTTGGTTTAAAGGCGAGGAAAAGCCTCCTATTGATCCAAAGCAATTCCATATTCCTGAGTTCTACAGAGGTACAAATGGCCCTCTTATCAAAGTGCTTGAAACCCATGATGACTACGAAGTGCGGCTGTACGAGAAAACACAATGGGTGTCTTCTAAGTCACCGCCTGGGGAATTCATGGGCGCATTTTGGAGACTATACAGCTACATCGGTGGTAAAAATGACCAGGGAAAGAAGATGGATATGAATATGCCAGTTCGTATGTATATCAAGTTAAGCGAAGAAGACGAAGATGGGTCAAAGGTCGATGACTTTGTGGTATCTTTCTTCTTGTCCTCTTCACTGTTACCTGAACTCCCAAAACCGACTGATGAGCAAGTCTTCCTAGAGCAAGAAGAACGCCGTGTTACTTACGTTGCAAATTTCAGTGGCATGGCGACGGGAAAAGATTGGAAAGACAGTAGAAAACGCTTGATGGCTGCGCTGGATCGAGATGGTAAGAGGTACGTTGCGAAAGAGTACTTTTCTGCTGGATATGATCCGCCGTATAAACTCTGGAATCGCAGAAATGAAATGATCTTGATTGCTGACCCACAGCCTGAATTAGACGAAGATGAGTCTACTGATAATTAAAAAGAGAACTACTTGATATCCGGTAGATAACAGTGAAAATGATTTTGATTGTAATTTTTTAGGACCGGCTTGATTTTTGAATGCGTGACATGTTTGAGTTGTCACGTAATACTGGTGACTGTTCAGTTTATCGAGTCTTCGACGTGCAAACCAATCACTTACGTTTTAAAGCGTATTTTGTGCAAAAAATGTTTAGCTGGTTTAAGGGAGAAGAAAAACCAAAGAAGGACACTTCAGAATTTCATTACCCAGATTTCTATAATGGAAGTATCGGTCCAAGATTCAAACTTCTTGATAGTGATGAAGACTATGAGACGCGAATCTACGAGTCTACGAAGTGGGTCTCCACTGATATGGAGACGTCAGACTATGGGGATGCTATGAGTAAAGGATTTTGGAAGCTTTTTGGTTATATTGGAGGTAAAAACGAGACAAAAAGTAAAGTTGCAATGACGATCCCAGTCCGCGGCACTGTTACACAACATGAAGGAGAAACAAAGTCAGTCGTTACATCATTCTTTGTTGACCAAAGCAAAGATTGTCCGGCTCCCACTGAAGAGACTGTCTTCGTCAAAGAAGAGAGTGAAGAGGTCAAAGTGTATGTTCGCAATTTTGGAGGTTTTGCCAAAGATCATTCTTATAAAGAAAACTTACAAGCTCTCAAGGATTCACTTGATCGTGACGGAAAGTGTTACGTAACAGGGGTATACTTCACTGCTGGTTACGACCCACCTTTCAAACTGTGGGGCAGAAGAAATGAAGTTTATGTGCAAGCAGCTTCCGAAAACACTGACTAAACATTATAATTTTAGGAGCATTACATCTTTTGTACAAGGAATGGCTTGTCCATCTGGTTCTGACAAATTTATCCATGTATATGATAAGATAACGGAAAATTACACTTTTATATATAAGTTACTCCTTTTTTATATAGTTGACAAAACCTTTTTTTCTGCTTTGCAATAATTGCTGACTTTTTTCACACAATTTTCTTTAATTGTACAGGCAAAATCAAACATGTTTCTTCATTCATAATTATAAACTATACCTTTTTTTCATTTCACTCATATTTTTATGTAAATGTGCTTTAATACTTATCATTATTTAATAGCTAGTTCCAATGAATTGATGAAAAATACAAATTATAAAAGATTCAAATTCGTATACACAACAATTATACACATTATATTGACTATCTTTGAATTATCACAATAAAAGCCAATAAAATTGATACATGTTTTTCCAAGTTTTAATTCAGTGGTCAAAAAACACCTATGAAATAGATAATTTATAACATTAATACTATGTTTTAGCTTCATATTGTAGGACGTCAAAATAATTTCAACTTTTACCCCTCCTTTGACACAACAGAAAACACAATATTTGAGGAAAACTAGTTTCGTCTATTCGACCTTATCAATTCCTCTACAACTGTTGTTTTAGCTAATATTCCATTGTTCTTTTGTGTGTGTCTATTAGATTTATCACAGTATAATAGGTGCTCAAATTTTGTTTTATGGGTTCAATGGGTATGTGTGGCTAAAGGGTATGGTTTTTCGGATTTTAAGTCTGGGGGTATCCTTTTAATTAACATTTTATCTGGGATATTCTGAATAGAGGTAGTTTTTGGTTTAGTCTAGAATAAGCTGCACTTTTGGTCGATATTGAAACTATGTAAATTCCATTTAAAGGTTAGCAAAATAGKGTGTACAATTCTTATGGGTATATTAGSTGGTATGAAAAATYGAAATTTTTGGATTCTTTTGTCTTTATTTCCAATTGATATCTTGAGTGATCACTTTTTTAACATCATGGCAACACCCTCCATATATCAAGTTTAACCCCTCTTGAAGGTATTTGAAGGAAATTATAATTATTTCAGAATTMTTCTACAAACTGAAGTTCTGAGGGGTTGAAGTAAAGGGGAAAAATGATATTACTGTGATAGTTATGTTCATCCAAACTTTTTACAATTAAAAAGACTGAAAACATACACMTAAAAATGCTCTGCTTCTAATAAATTACATCTCAGATAATACTATCAATTTTTATTCTAAAATGTTTCATTACATAATATTATAAATTTTTTYATATTATATATACTGACTATAAAATATTTAAGATTGAGATCATTTTGGCATGTTCATATTGAKAATTTTCATATTTGTTTYTGTCATAATTTATACTATAATACACCTAATAAGTCCACCAGATCACAACATCTTCCATCTAGATGYTCTTGCAACATGGACTTGATTGCTTGATTGTCACCATCAGTTGCTGTCAACTCAAGTAGTTCTTGTAAACAGACATGGGGTCGTTTTCATAGTGTTTGTGGAATGATACTGGYGTTTGATGGGCAAGAAGAGATGGTACGTACTCAATGGGTCGTGCCTAGAAAATAGTCATAACGTTATAGTGAAAAATTGGCAAACAGCAACCTTCCCTAATTTTGTCTTTGGATTGAATACCTAAATTTAGAATTGGAAAAAGGGATTCATATAGCAATAAGTATGTATTCCCACTCTTAACACAGTTCATGCAAGTCATTCAATAAAAATTATTCAATCCATACTAAAATGTATGTACATGCCCAATTAGATCAGCTATTGGGCACGCACATCAGAAACAATATGCTTGAGCTAAGTTTCTTTTGAATGTGTGTTTTACTTGTACCGGAAGCTGATTCCTGGCCAGAAAGAGGTGTTGACATTTTTCGGTAAAGGATTAAAGAACCCCTGCTTAGAATTTTTTTCTTAGCTCTAGCTTGTCGTGGTATATAGCCAGTCTGATAGTCCATGACCATATTCCATATTATAGTATTTCACCTGATGGAATGCAGGACTGTGAGTAACTGGAATATTAATATTTCTAAAGCAGTGTCCAAGCCACATGTCATCAGGGGAATCATTCTGCCAGCAACGACAGCCACTCTTCAAAAGTGCTTTTACACCACCACGGCTCAGCACCATTCTACAAAAAAAAAATGGTAAAGCATGAAATGTTTGGTGCTAAAAAACAATGATTTAAATTGTTGAGCAGCTGGATAAAAGGATATTGCTCCCTGAAGGATAATTATATAGCAAGTCAAAACTAATGTCAAAACATGATTTTGAACTGATGTTTGACCACTCATTGCTAGCCTTAATGGAAATGAACCATAAAGGTTCAATCATAATTAAATGAAGAATATTCCATACCCTCCACCACCGGTGACATATTCATAGCCAAATCCAGTYGGTACTCCATATCCATATCTCTCACCAAGAAGAATGACCTCATTGGGATCGTAACAAGAGAGTAATTGCTGCAATCGAGGGGCACTGGACAATAAACATAATCTGTTAGTAAGCAAGATTTATTTGGGAGAAGGGGGGGTGGGAAGGGAGAGTCAATAGAGAAAGAGAGGCAGACAGACAGACAGTTTTTATTAGTAATCTTTTATGATCCTTATCAATCCAGTGTTTACATCTATACCTCATAATGGTGTCGTCATCTACCACTACAAGCCAAGGTTTGCTAGAAAATCTCTTGTCTGTTTCAGATCGTTCAATTATAGCTTGAAGTTTAGCACAGTGACCTAAAGACATAGACAACAAAGATCAAAGCATCCTGAAAAACTAATGTACAAATAGAATTCCTTTTTTGACAATCCAGGTGGACACCCTTTGCATTCCCAAAGTTAGGTACACTTACCCATTTCAGTGTTGGGTACCCCTATGTTTTCTGTTGGAATGCTAGGGTCTTCTGTYTCACTGTAGTACACTAAATGTTTTGCATGCTGACCAAGTGTTTTTTGGATGTATGGGACTAATAAACAAAGGATATTAGATAAAAATGTGAAAGATGATTTGAGATATTATGTTAATTTCATCTTGATTTCCTCAAGTATGTTAAGGCTTGAGTTATTCGGTCTTGACGCACGATCAGCTTGTATTGTTACATTATTACATTACGGAGATGTAATATTAGAAAAGTCTTGTGAGTGAGGAGGTTTTACAATAAAACGAAACTAGTTTTACAGACAATACAAGCTGATCGTGTGTCAAGACCGAATAACTCAAGCCTTAACATACTTGAGGAAATCAAGATGAAATTAATATCAAAGTCTTGCGAGGCCAAAATACTAAATATATCAAAGATATTATGTTCTAATAAGAATAATGGTAATGATACCTATTTGATGTAAAGCAAGTGACATTTGGAATAGAAAAATGGAAAAGTGATTGATTTTGGGAGTGAGGAAAATGGTACAGTAGGTCTGCACCTGGAAAGTACCATTACTAGAAAAGCAAGCTAAGTGCCATTTAATGAATTAATTAGTGAAAGAAATTCTAGACCTTTAAACAGCATTTAGACCTTAAACAGAAGCATTGCAAAAAAATATAAATTGTAAATAATTGCCTACCCCTTGTCTTGTGAAACTTCTTTGTAGTTTTTACCGCAAAAAAGATGTCATCCATACTAAGGTTGCCCTGGAAACACAAGGAAAAAAAGACAAGCAAATAACCAAATGAACAAGAAAGCACATGAAATATGAAAATAAAAAGCAAAGTGGGGGAAAGCATCTTGGTCTCAGGAGGATTTGCTCACCAGCAAGATCTATCCCTATGATATGAATGTGATGTGAAGAGTAGATGAGTAGACAAATATGATATTAAGAAACAATAGTCTTCTTCACGGTTCCCTGCACCATCTTGAAAGGTAGCTGTGCCTTTGCATTGAAGCGAGACAACCTTTGAGAGTGAAATGATAGAAACCTTCTTTCACACAGGTACAGATTATTTACAGGTATCTATCATTGCATGCTCGATGGTTGTCTCACTTAAATGCAAAGGCACGGCTGCCTTTCAAGATGTTGCATGTAACCATGAAGACTATTGGGTGGATGTCATATTAAAAAAGAAGTCAACCATATTGTATACTTACACAGTCCTCTAGAGTGTTCTTAACAGATGTGACACACAATTCATTTTCTCCAGGTTTGGTAGTGCAGAGTTCTGGTACATCAGTGATGGTAACTCCTTTGCCATCATTTCTAATGTACATTGCTATCTGTAGGTGAATCAGTATGATTATATCAAAAGAGGTAGTGGTCTATTGCTGGTCTAGTGATGGCTTGTGCCCTGACTGGACCATTGCCTTGATCATTCTCACTCTACAAACACACTGTAAGGCCTTAATCAGAGTTGATAATAAAACTTTACAAATCATAAAAGACTTATCTGACATACCTCATGCTGAATATCAATAGTAAAATCAGACTTTAATGATGACTTCTCAATTCTAGCAGACAATCTACAAAAAAATTACCAAATTAATTAAAACACCTATAAGAAAAAATTCACAATGAATTGGATTATTTCCCGGGTGTTTTTCTTTGAAGTACTAAGACTACTGTGTAGTCTAAAAAACTTAGGGAAAACCTGTAACAGCAAAAACCTTGAGAGATTCAAGGCTTAATACCAGTGAAAGCACTTACCACTTTTTTGAGAACAAAACAAATTAAAATCCAAAACTACTTTATTCCAGAAGATTGATAGTTAGGTTTAATGAGAGCTAAAGTTTACTTACTGCCRTAATAGTGCTGTACTAATTGCCCAGCCAGCAGAAAAGTCTGGAAAGGAGAACTGTGACAGGTCTTCAGCAAATGCAAAATGGTGGATGATGGCTGGGTGCTGGTCTTGAAGTGCATGACCAAGAAACAAACTCTGGAGTAGAGCATATTTGAAAGAATACATCTGACTTTACTATACACCACACTTCCACCACACAAACGGGGAAAAACATTATGTGACCAAATTGAATTTCATCAATCGTAAATATTTAAAGATTTATCTACCTCTTTTGGATTATATCTTTGAAGAACTTTAGTAAGCTTATGAACATTAATAACTGTATCTTCTTCGCAGAAAAATATCCACGATTTTTTTTCACTGTAATCTTTATTTAACCTAAAATATTGGTGCCTGATGTCAATGATTTTATTCAAATAAATTTACTAAGTTACGTTTACTTAATATCAGCAAGATCTAACCTGGTCAAGATTGGAAATATTGTCCAGGCACCAAAAGGAGCCCAATCTTCATGAAGCATTTTAACTATTTCTTCTTTCTGTGAAATCAAACCAAGCAGAGGTTACAATGTTATTATTCAATTGATGGTCCTTTTGATAAAGCACTGGATAGAATTCAAAATGTAGAACCAGTAGTCTGGATATTAGTTTAAAAAACATCATTACTTTTATACATGAAGACATAAATATCAAGTTGATATTACCATGCATGATTTAATAGTTTTRCAGTAATTTTGTAATTAATTGTTTCAGTTCCTAAACAATGTACATTTTGGGTGAGTATCTACTCTCTATTTATTTGTCTTCACATGCTCTTCTTTGCTACAAKATTTGATGATGAAACTTTTAATTTGCACCCAGCAATATTAGTTTCAATATAAATATCACAAATGCTTTTGATGTTTGGAATGAAGATGATTTTGAGTTTTAATTGGGGYTTAATYGAATCATCAATATTCAAATATTCGTACAAACAAAATCCAAATTACAAAAATTTCTTCTGAGAAGTTTGAATTCATCTTTCTCTTTCTAATAAAAAAATAATCACTAAATCAAAATTCAAAAACTAACCTTCTCCTCTGATGTTAACTGCTTCATAATATGTTCATAAAATATTTTTGCTTTCTTTTTATGATAAGAATTTGGCTGTGTTCTGGCAATAATAAGAATATCTTGAAGACCTAGCAATACGATTCAAACATTAACAATGACCACAGAAAAAAAATACATGTATATTCTGCATCCAATCAAAACAAATGATGCAAAATCTCATTCTCACCTAAAGGTTTAATTGAAGTTGTATTAGTAGTATTTGTCCCAGAATCCTGAAAAAGAATTATGCATATTTATTTCAATTGTTTTTTATTGTTCTCAAATTTACTAAAAAAGCACAAAATGGMAAATAGTGTTGTCATTGAAATGCAGTTGGAGCTATATAGAATAGTCTGAAAGAGTTATTGCAATAAACCATAAGATAATTACATTTTTATCAAATAAATCTGATAGAATTTGTAATCGAAATATATGCTAATTAATTTATAATTCATTTCATAGCAACACTGGCAGACATGATTCAATAARGCACTTGTTATAAAGGGTACAAGTCCGTCCCTAAAATCAATGGTACCAGTTAGATACACACGAGTTTAATGTCTGTAGTGAAACYTGATAATTAAAGGCGTTGAATTTCAAACTTTAGTGTCAGATTTGATGACTTTTGAATAAGAAATGGGAGATTTTCCAAACTTTTGAAACAAAAGAATTGATAATTCGCTGCTAGGATACCACTATGCTGTGCCTTGGGGACAAAATGGGTTAATTAAAATGCGTTGCTACGTGGACTTGGGAGCAAAGAGAGTCGTAAATCAACGTAATGAGTAGTTATTATAGGATAAAACGTCCARCACACGATCGAACAAGTGAGGAAAAACGCGTTCAAATGACTGGGTCAAACTACAAATGTGTTTTAATCTTATAACCAATGAATAGGATCAAAGGGTCTTTCGATAGAATAGAATCAATATTCTAACCAAAAAGATATCAGCAGCGCTTCAAAGGTCTATAAATGAATATTTGCCAAGAAAATATTATAAAATTCTTACCAACAAGGCGTCAAATTCGAAATTTCCACGAGGATCGTACGGCTTGAAATCATCCTCGTTTCCTCGTGCTGTTTGACCTAATAAAATTTCCAAAATTCAAAACAGATAGGTCATTGAATAGCACAAAATATGGAATAGCTCTAAAAACATAAAATACTTACGAGAGAGTAATATTCCTAGTAAAGAGAAAAGAACTGGAAAGTCCATGTTCGATGGTTGTTGTAAATGTATGAGTCGCGAGAGAACTGTAAACTAAAACAAATCTTCGCGGGCTCAAAATCAACAGGGAGCCCAAACAAAAAAGGTTCTTGTCTATCTTCGTTTATAAAAACAAATATATTAATTTATTAAAATCGATACTATTGAAATCAGATTCAAAAATGATTTCTGTCTCATAGCCCCGAAGAATATTCTTGTTATAAAAAGATGTACTACATGAACTGTTCACATAAATTCTCGGGATTCCTGTGGATTCTTTGGATTGCTAGAAAACTCAAAATGGCGGACGATGAGGAGCTAAAAGTCATGGTATAAATCAGTAAAAATAGCTTACATTCAATAAATTCTACGCATTATTTTAGCTCATTATATTTTTATTCATTCCAATTCGCAGAAACTTGAATTTGATTGGCTTTTAAAGGAGCATTTACCAAAAGTCCTCAATCAAATGGATGCCATCTTGCAGGTTTGAATAGGCCACATTTGAAGGGATCTATGATAGTATTCTCAATTCATGCTAATTGTATATTACAGGAGTGCCTTAAATGGCTCCAATTTTCAAGTTTGTCTAGCAATCCACAAGGTTTGTTTGGGGAAGATATGGGACAATTCTCCCAGTCTAATATGAAACTGGAACTCTAACTATAACACTAGTAACAATCGTACTGAACTAACACAGCAATATAATSAAATAGGATACTAGCTAACAAATATATACATAAAGAAACTAGACCCCAGGGGGAGGGGGCGACTGTCGAATTAATCATTTTAATAGATCAAAATAAGCCAATTACATGATGACTAGAATGGGCTTTTGTATTTTAATTATCTTAAGCTTAAATTRATAATTTAGGTTTATAAGCCAACTCTCCCGGATAATCCGGGAGTCTCAAGATTTTCGACCATTTCTCCCAGGCTCAAGATTTTACCGCTAATTCTCCCGGATAATGACGATTCATATATCAGTTTTTTGAAATATCTCTTTTCATCTATTAAAACTCAAATTACCTTGCATATCTGTGTCATTTTAGTTCTGAAAAAATACAAAAATCCCAGTCTTCTGATAACAATAACACTGCACGCCATCCACGGACATTTTCAATTGCACAATACAATCTATAATATGATTGGTTAAGATACATCCAATCAAATCACTAGTTATAACGAGAGTTGATAAATGCAATGACGTCATCGATAATGCTATGAAACGTAATTTCCGGTATGACGTCATCATTTTCGTTCGTGTATATTATCTCAAGATTTGAAAAGTTTGGGGGTTGGCATCCCTGAAGCATGGTCAAATGACTGAATTGGCTCAATGTGAAATCAGAGTAAAYGTAAACTCTGCGCACCTATATTATCTAATGGATACATACTCATAGCTGGAGATTTGTGAAATCATGATTTGGGCTTCCTGTGGTGAACTACGTAAGTACGTGATGTAACAGCACAAAGAGGGGGCTGCATAGATAGGAAGGAATGCTACATTYCGATATATTGAACAACAAAATTATACRTACTTATAAGTATAAATAAGTTTTTTTATTATAAGCGATTATATCTTGGGTATGACTTACATTAATACATTACCATATTTTTACAAGTTTCACGATTATCTGGGAGTTTTCAACCTTTACCCGGGAGACCGGGAGAYGAGACTCCCGGATAATCTGGGAGGGTTGACAGCTATGCATAATTGAGAGCTCTGACATTTAATGTTTCTAAATAGTTAACAAAGATSAGAAATGAGCTTGAATWCAGTACAAATTCTGTSGCTTGTTTTAACCATTATTGCTATTCAAACTGCTGCTTTTCTCTTTAAGGTGATACCCCCAAACCACAAGATTATTTTATGTTATCTACACCAAGGTACGGCTACAAATTATAGATAGATGTGGGCTCACTTAATTTTCAATAGCTATGAAGAGCAAGCTGTAAAGTAGCAGGCCTATGATCAGTATTCTATCACCAAAATTTATGGAAAGGCAAACGAAGTCCCAAAGTTTGTGCTGTCAACTGGCATGGGTATGCTCTGGTCTACAGGAAGAAAAAATTAAGCATTTTTTTAAGCAAATTTAATTTACAATATAAATTGTGTTTYACAGTGCAGATTTACTGAAGGGTTATGTAGCAGTGGAAGGAGATGACATCTCCAAAGGAGTAAGATACAATATAATATTTATGCAATGCAATTATATTTTAAAAAAGATTATCAAAAGAAATACTAGTAGATGAATAGTTAGTAAGTTATTATTGACTTTTTGTTTTAGGATTTAAAATTCAAATTACCAAAAGTTTCAACCTCTGGGTTTAGAGTTTTTATCAGAGAAAATCATCCATGGAAACTTCAACAAGTAAGTTTGACTGGTTATATATAAATTGGATATGTAAAAATTGAATAAAAAAATAAAACCTTTGTCAAATAGCTGAGTCAAATGATTTACTGCTCTATGTGGATTTTAATGTTCTATGTGGGGAAATAACAAAACTCTCACATTGACAATAGTCTACTATTGTATAATTTAATTTTCAGATTCAAGATGCTGTCAATTACCTCAAACTTTCTTCTGAAAAGGTCCAGGAAATGCGGAATATTACCTGTTCTCCATCTGGAAGAGAAGTCAGTAAGGTAATGTACCATAATTGAATTGCAAAACTTTAAAACATTAAAACACTAAACATTTTAACCTGTCTTTTTAGATTGTTGATGACATCGCAAATTGTCTTGCAAAAGGCAAGAATTGTTTGATGGTCCCCAAGAAGATATCGGTGTTAGATATCCTAAATTCAAGTAACCAAGTAATATAGAAATATTTTAAAAACTTMAATGCAATTTTACTGTCAGTAGCCTACCTTTCAGGGATTGGTTTTAAATGATTTTGGGATTTTGAAGGAGAAAACACTGTTTGAGAAGACTGTTATTTTTTTAAASGAAAGATGGTGCAATACAATTATATTTGAAAATGTAATCAGTTAAGTCAGATGTCAAGTCATACTGAAATCCGTTTGTTATTGCTTTTTTTCCAGAAATCCTTCAAACCAAATCTACCTGATGAAGTTGTAGCTCATTTTTACATCAACAGCGATAAAYTAATGTTATCAGTCTTTACTTTGTCAATACTTCCTGTTCCACCTCAAAATCCTGTAAGTTTTTATGTATTTTCTTAAAAATATGCAAAGGGTCTGAAAGCTGGGCAAAACAACTTGTGCGAACAGTTGCTTTGGGTGAAAGCAATTTTAAAAATCTTAAAAATTTAAAAATCTGTATTTGATTGTTTAAAACCCCACCATGGAATGCAATAATAGACCTTTTCTAAAATGCAAAATCATGGTTTATTGTGGTCTAGCTTTGGCTCAAACAACACAATATTTGGCAGCTCAAACAAAAGGTGTTTGTACTGAATCTAGACCACAGTGCAATGCAAACTGCTATCTCAGAAAAGGCCTATACTGCCCAAAATATAAAMCTATTGACAAGAATCCTCATAAAGAATGATTGAAAGGCTTGAATTTGATCAAACAAACTAAAATAATTATAAACRAAACAAATACTTTATAATGAGCTAGTGACCATCACATAATCGAACCTCCAGAATGCAGGACCCTTGTCATGATCATACTCTAAATATCTGTGATTGACAATTTTTTTTGTGTGTTTCAGAAACAAGTTCCAGAAGCTGATCAGACTGGACATACTTTGTAAGTAATTCATTGAAGAACCAATATATGTACAGTCTGGTGTATCAATCCGTATATCTATCTACTGTACCAACCACGTCAGCTGACCAGTGAACAAGCTATTGAGTCATGGAGAAAAYTAAYTTGTGTTACTTTGTTGTATGTTTTCAGTGAACACAATTCAAAGTGGATGGAAATWAGCAGTCATTTTGAGGTGATTAGTGCTATTAAGTGAACTTTAATGACAATCTACTGCAATGAGAATGATRGTAGGCAGCTTTCACTTTGCACTCACTTAATTCTTTCAAAATATYACTAAWTTCTTGAAATTTCCAATAATTTWTTGTGAGTCTGAAGAGAGTCTGACTTGTCTGACTTATGTGGTAAGAACAATATTTTGGCTTTGGGAATTGGGTTTTTACTAAAAAAATGATTGAGACTGCAGAACKATATGAAGGAGTCTATTAATACTGCATTCTTGTTTACATTTCTTCAGGTTGATTGCAGTATTCCCAGATTGAAAGACAGTGTTCTACTCTTTACAGCAGCACTACAAATATGTCAACAATTGAAGGATAAAGTATGTTGAAGTGTGCTCATATTAGGAGAAGAAAATGCAAAATATTAAAATTCCAGCAAAAGAAAAAAAAGAATGATAAGTGTGATTCATTTTGGCCTCATTCATTTTCAAATTCACTTGTTGTTCTTAAAGTCATTTCTCTGTTTCAGATTCTTGCCTTCAGCATTTTAGATTCAAGATGAATTATCAAAATTCAACTCTAATGAGGATAATTTGTAAATAAATYATAATTCAATATCATATATTTCAATATCTAATAATACCAGTAATAACATATTCCACCAAACATTTACTGAAAAAATAATTGAAATAATTTTGTGGAAGGGAATTTTTTAGCTTGTACAAAAACTCAATTCATATGTAATATGATAAATATAGAAATAAATTGATTATACATGAAGTTGCTTTGTCTCAAAAGAAACATGAGGTGCATTGAGGGGAATCCAAATTTTGTTTGGCACATTTCAAAATATATTAGCAATTCAACCAGTCATTACATTCAGAGTTCAGGGTTATGTGTAGCTACTAGTCACCCCATATAACAAAGAATTTGGAGTTTTCCTGCAAGCTCCTGCATTCCAGATTCCTGAAGTACTATACTGGATTTAGAATGCAAATTAAGCATCCTAATTATGAAACATTTCAAGTCACTAATTCCTCTTATTTTATTGAATTCATTTCCATTGCTGCACATCCAAATTCCACAAATCTAGATTTCAAACTGTGGTTTGTCCRGATGTGACRCAGGCTARGATTTCAGAGCCAAACKTTTGTGTGWTTCCAGATTCCRTTCSATGGGTTTCATTCCATGGGCTCAGAGCTAGAGTAGGTCTWGTGCAGTTGCTGTACATTGACATTTTATACTGGGTGGGCACTTAGAATGGTGCACTTCACAATAATGATCAGAAAGGAGACACAAATAAGGAAAAACATTAAGTGATGAGTGCTCATGTGTGTGTGTGTGGGAGGGGGGGGGAGGGGGCAGGATAACCCCCTAGACCCACAGTCACACTCAGTGGGTGTAGGTGGTGACTTTTGTTGCAATTTGCTCAGTCACTTAGAGAATCATGTTAAAGAATTTACAAGTTTTTTCTAGACACTAAGACATGAGCTGACTATAGAATCCTTTGCAGAAGAAAGCAACAAAATCTATCATGATATTTTTTTAAAAATTGCCAAGAAATGGAGCAAAAATCCCAATTATCAGAGAAAATACATACGTAGTTGAGTGTTTGGAGCSGTTCAAAAATCACGAGATTGTTTATTTTGTAGAACGCAGTGTAAGACCCTTGTGTGGGACACTTGATTACAAAATTTATTTGTGAGGGAGGAGGGGGCGAAACCTMATTTCTTGACTTGGAACCAGTCCTTTTTCAAATTGCGCGGACGGCCTTGTAAACATCAAGAAGGGAAGGTCTTCGAAGGAAATTGTGTTTAAAACGGGGACAAAATGACTTCCATTTTAGCTGGAAGGCCAACTGCTCAGCATATTTTATCTATTGCGGAAATCTTAGAGCTTACGCTGTCGTTTCTCCCAGCGAAAAACCTTTCCATCGCGTCCCAAGTTTGTCGTATGTGGAGAGACATGGTCAGAAGAGTGCATCGTTTTCGAAAGGCAAGATGGTCGAGTTTTTTAGTTCATCACGGGCCAAATACACCATGTAGTTCAAAAGTAAGTCTTAATATATTACTGTAGTTATTGTAGAAGTATTATCTGATTTTTCATTGGCAATATGTTAGTTAAGAAATTTCATCTTAAAGCATGGACGACAACGACAATCTAACTTAGCTTAAGCTTAAAGTTTATTTATTTATTTAAGTTAATTTATCTTTTTGTAATAATAAAAACGAATATTAGCCTGTGCTTTAATACTTTTTCGTGCTCTCAAAAGATATATTTTTGATGGKGAATGAGACATTTTGTGATCTTTTGTTATATGTTTCCTGGGTGGCGTTTGTCAGATTTTCTTTAAAATAAAAAAAAMTTAATAAGCTTACATAGTATGATCTTAAACAAAATGTGTCCAAAAATATGTAACTGCCTTCAAACTACATAAGAATGTAAATCATTATCGAAAGTGTTTCCTTTTTTCATAATTTCAAATCCCCTTTCTTTCGTTTTCTCCTCACAATTTCAATTTCAATTTATATTATTCATCATTTTATACTAATTATATATTAACAGTTGTTTATGATTCCTTTGGCCTACAAGTAAGAAAAACAATTTTGGTAGGCCAATGGATTACAATTCAAATTAGAAAAAAATATAGATAAATAATAGAATATTAATAACAAACTAATGATGATTCTTTTCAGATGAGATAAATTGTCCTTGGTGCTTTCCTATTGAGGAATCATTTGTACATTCAAAATCATGTTTAAAATTCCAAAAATCATAGATGATATTTTTAGCAATATTGTTTAATTCATGATTGTGCATCCTTAAGTCAGAATAATCCAGTTTTGTCTACAAAAACTTGACAGGATTTCTCTATATCTCATAGGACAACATTATTTTATCTAATATTGGATGTTACATTTTCTTTTTCTCTTTTCAGTTATCAATGAACCTGATGATTTCTCGTATTGACGACTTCTTGGACAATCTCTTCAACTTCCCTGCTGCGGCAATTATCTTTGTTAGCAGGTCAAGTGAATTTTGTGAAACGCGRCGAGATGAAATTCGTAGTCTTATATCATCTGTTAAAGTACGACTACCAAGAAATTGCACAATCATAGGTTGTGTTGGTAGTGGCATTGTAGGATGTGAAGAGGGATCACAGCCTGAGGAGATCGAATCAGCTGAGGGGGTGTCTTTATTGATTATGCCGAGAGTGGAGGGAATCACTACACATACATTCAATATGAGTTGTACTGATGTCAGAAATAATAGATCTTTTAAGTCTCGGTGGGAATCATCTCTCAATATTCCTTCAGACAAACAACTCAARTTTGCTATATTGTTTGCAAAAGGAGATATTTATAACCTTGATATTATTGGYAAAGTTGCATCTGGTATCTGGCAGGTAATAAATGTTAATCTTAAAGTTAATGTGGTTATTGTTCATCAGGGTATCAGCATTTTGAGGATCAGAGATCACATTTAGTGCTACTTGGGCTTAGTCAGATTGGGATAGGCAATGGGCAGCAATGCCATTTTGTACAAYAAAGTATGATGGGAGTTGTAATCCTTGCTATTTTGCATACAATAATGCATGAAGCCCCTAAAAAAAATCTGGCACATAAGCAAATGGTCATTTACMATATAGTAAAACAGGTACCAGAAGAATAACTYTTAGATGCMCTACATTTTTCTTGCAGATAAATGGTAGCAGTGATGGAGAAAAGTCCAATGTGGTCATTATTGGGGGTTTAGTAGACTCACTTCTCTTTGTTGACAATGAAATCAAATTTTCTGGTGTCATAGGACTTGGAATAGCTGGCGCCAATGTTCAGGCTGTGTCAGTAGTCCATCACGGCGAAACACCTAGTGGTGTTACAAAGAGYCTTGAACAGCTGCGTAACTTTGGTGTTTCACATTCTAGTAGCAGTGCATGTTTTATGGTGTCCTGTGTTGGCAGAGGAGAGAAGTTCTATATGGCAAAGAATGTTGAATCTCAGATTTTTAAGCAAGTCTTTCCTAGGATTCCTGTTGGAGGGTTCTTTGGTAATGGTGAACTTGGCTTAGATTTACAATCTACACAGGGAAAATATCTGAAAGACAGTCATTTTCTACATTCTTATTCTTCAGTATTTTGTCTCTGCTCTTTGGAAACGAACACAAAGAAGTTTAATGTACAAGATTGCCCAGGATTGTGTGGAAGTTCATCGAAAAATCCTCTTGAGGATGAGAATGCTTCAGAAACAACCAGMGAGTGAGCTTCCTGTACACAAAGATTAAATGATTAAGTATGTTTACTTAGACTGTTAGTRTTTTTATGAGTGGGCAATTAAGTGTACCATAAGAGAAACATGATATATAATATAAATTATACATTTTGTCCAGTCATACTAGAACTGTAGTTCTAGTAGATATAAAATTGTTGTTGTTTAGAATGCTGGACTTGCAARTTCCACCTTTAGTCTAGGCGTGAAGTGGCATTCCCTGCTGCCAATGATTTCTTTCTGTGCTGGGTAACTTTAAAATATCCAAACAACTGGGTATAAGTAAACTGTTCCAAACTGGTTTTATTGACACACATCAGAGGTCAGAAATATTAGAGATTTATTGGCATAGTTCAAAAGGTAAATGCTAATCCAGGATTAACCTAAAAAACACTTGGATTAACAATGCTACAATGTAATTGGACCTTAGGCAACCAGACCCTGGATTAGAGTAAAAGTATTTTTTTACTTGGCCTTGAATCACATACCTCCAGTATTGGAGCAAATTTTATTGAAAATTATTAGTCTATCTTGGACCAGTGCCCTTGTTCACTAATTCCAACCTTACACAACTTAACTAATYGAAACTATTTATCGCTGAGGCACCAGTTGTATGAAGGGTGGATTTCATTATAACATCGCATCAAAACATTCTGTTGTTTAAGGCTAAGGATTATGGTCGCCAAAGAGACTGCATTATCAAATATAATATATGCAAGCTGCTGCAATATTTGATGCATGATATATATCAAAACGTGATACGTTCTACTTTTGAAAGGAATATAGGGCAGGCACATCTACGTTTCTAGATGGCACTGGGATTCAAACTTTAAAAGGAGGGTGAAGAAATAGCTGTAGAATACAATACATGGAAAAGAATATATTTTAATGCTGTAAGCATGTTTTGTTAAAATAATTAATATTTTGTTAAAATGAAAAATTGTTATATGTTAAGTATAAAATAAACATGATTGTTCTCCAACAATAACAATATTGATTCATATTTTTTTGCAATTCTCATCATTTTGTGTCAATCAATATGTAGTTTATCAATATGTAGTATACGGATAGATAGATACAGATAGCTGGTTATAATATATGATATAGTATATCTAGTAGATTCCTGGAAATAGGTTTTTGAGGTGCTGAGGAAACTTGTCAAACTTTTTCAAGTACCATAGTCTTGTCTGATGACTGCGACCTGACAAATAGGCAACCATTGTCAGCCATGATAGATATAAACAGGAGTGCTGATAGAGTACTGACATGCCAAGCCAGGCTATCAGCTCACTGAAACAAAACAAATGCTTACATTATTGACACATAAAGTGAAGTTGAAAAGAACTTTGAAGTTGCATACATTGACTGAAACATCACCAGGTCTAATAAGCTTGGACTACCCGTGGGGGGTTGATTATTAAAAATATAGACAAACTTGTCTAATTGAAAGTTGAGTGTCTGGGTTCCAAAGGGTTACATCTTATTAAAGCAAAAACAACCAAATAGGAGCATAGGAAAGCACAACCACCATATCTATTTCACCCTGACCTGCTCCCAGTCTGACCTTGTACATGTAGCTCAGCTGGTAGAACATCGGTAGTACAAATCTAAATGTCGTGGGTTCGAATCCCAATGAGGTCAGAAATTAATTTTTCCGAATTTATTTCCAAGGGTCTTTCTCCCAGATATCTAAGCACTATAACCTTCCTTTATTCCTATATCATGTATCTCATAGTGCCATGCAGTCCTTACATTCACACCATATTGTTTGCCTGCACTGAATAAAATGACCTTCTCTATGAAAAATGCTATAAATTATTATGTAACATGCTTCTGGCAAATCTGATTTAAATTTCTCAATTCTTAAAATGGCTTTGGTGTTAGCCCCCAGCTCTTTCTCAGTTATGAGATACATCAGCTACATGTACATGTATAAATCTGCCTGACTAGCACACTGAAATGTGGTTGCTTTTCCTATCATCCCTTTCAGGAATAATATTACATATTAAGATTTTTGTATCATACACAAATAACAGAATTCTTACCCAAAGTAATGAGGACAAATAACCATGCTGAACAGACCACCAGTGGGAATGACATACTTTGAGCCCCCTTTGGGTCTAAGGGTAGCCAGAATGACATGGTGAGCAAAGTTAATGAACTCTCCAAGAACAAACAAAACCACACCAGTCACCAACACATGGCGATTTTGTGACAGCTTTGCTGCCAAGGCTGGACTAGTCAGTATGTTACACCAATAATGTTGCATCACAGCACCAAGTGAATAGAAGCCCCCTAYCTAAACATAATTATATAGATAAACAAAGAAAAAGAAAATTATGAGTTCTTCCAATCTCCCACTGAACATGTTTGATGAAATATTATGTCATTAGTACCTCAATGATTGTAATGATTTCGATGTTATTGGAATATTTGTGCAAAAATATGCACTCTAATATGCGCTTCAAGAAGTGAATATTGTAGGTTGCCAAGGCAATAAGGTGATAATCTGTCATTGGTTTTCCAAACGCATACCAAAGAACAGTGTACACAACTGCTGGTAAGGCATATGATATTACCCAACCAAAACGTGGATTGACTGAGCCGGCTTGTTTTGTAAACTTACTAAAAATATAAAAAGAGACAATTAAAATATGATATCACYTGGCCTTTAGCAATTTCTCCAAAAAGCAAAGCCAGCTTGTGCAAAATATCATAGACCTCTWGTGGAGTTTTTTGATATCAATTACTTGTTAACACAAGTTTTCATGCAAATGTCTTTTGCATTTTGGTGTGATCAAAAACGTTTTGATGGAAGGAGTTAAGGTTTCACTATTAGGAAAGAGAACATCGTTGTCAGATCTAATTTCTGTTAAGGAGAAATTTCAGCAAATGTTAAAAAATGGTATCAATGCTTGATGGATCTTGTCTCAAGTTTTTTTGAGGAGTGGTCATGTGACTGCCATTTGCTGAAATATCTCCTTAGCAGAAGTTAGATTGGACAGGCATGTTCCCTTTTAAAATATCTAAGAAAGCAAAGAAAAGCACTCGTTGGTTTTTATAGTATTCGCGCATTTTAAAGTTAAAAACTTGCTATCACRTGCTTGATCACGTGAAGAGTTTTGAAACAAGTTAAAAGAGGAAGCACAAAAATGTCAAATTCTAATAATTTAATTAAGTTTATATTCATATTCTGGCCTGAACAAGGCCTTAACATACTTGAGTAATGCACTAGTCATTTGATATCCCCCGCACCCCCCTCCCCCCCCCTGAGGAATACCCGGGGACATAGCGGGGTATTCACTCCATTTTCACCTATATTATGGGGGAGTTCACTTTTATTTTTTGCCCCGCAGTGCAGGGCTATCACTGCATTACACATAGGGAAAAAGTGAATGCCCCGGGTATTCCTCAGGGGGGGGGGATATCAAATGACTGGTGCATAACCTTTGACACATCCGGACACATTCTGTTACATGCTTCTGCTAACTTGATTATGCAATGTAATTTGCCAAAATCTCTCCCGTTTGCGATTACAATTCGTAACAAACCTGTAGCTTATTTGCATCATTCCATGGAATTCGTTGATATAATTCATCAGACACACCACAAGACCAAATACGTGCAAAGCAATGTTGAAAGGTGTCCATTTTGATGGAAGATACACGAACCCAACATAGTTTAGGCCAGCTAAGACTAAAAGAGCGAAAATAAAGGCAACTGAAAAGGGTCTTTCGCTCATTATGTCTTCAAAATGTTCTATCGGCAAAGGAAAATAAATTTTATAGACTTATAGGATTCGTGACATTTACATGTAGCTCTCKTCTTTTGTCTCTGGAGAGCCTGGCTCGAATGAAGTGTGAAAATGGCCACAGGGAGCCCAAATAGGAACTTTGAATGTAGAAATAAACCTGATTCACTTTTATTTCACTCTCAGTAAATAAGCGTGGCGATATTTTTTAAACCCATTTATTTCATCTAGCGTTTATATTAAACATAAAATATGGCGTTTAAATTATTTTGACCTATTTTCGTGTCTATTTTTGTGCTCCCACAATGCAATAGGCTGATGACCTCACTAACAGCCATCATGCTTTGCAAGTTTGCTGGTAAAGAGAACGAAAACATAGGCGACCATTTTGAAATATTTGTTGATATTTTTTTGACAAATTTACCATAAATGAAGCTAAGAAGAACGTCCGAGGACTTGGACGACGACGGGACTGTGATGAAAACATGTTGCTGCTGTATGGACGTTCGTATTGGGACAATAGTCCTTGGCTTTTGCCATTTGGTAAGAAGTCACTCGCTCGACAATGCAACGCAGCAGTTTTGTTTTATTATAAGTAATTGCTCATCCCATCCATAGTTTATACTTTGTGAGATATTGATAATGGTCTTCATACTTCTTTTTTTGTTTTCATACTAGAGTTTAAAGTCGAAAGGATATTTGATTGTGGCAAACGTAGTCACAATAATTTAGTTTTCCGGGAATGTTGAGAGCTTACTTGTACTTTCGTGTTTGCTTTTGAATTTTTTATCGCCCTGTCTAGATATTCGAATAACTTCAAACATATTACACATATATTAAAAAAATGAGGATACGTTTAAATTTCCTTCCTCAAGATTATGGCTAAACTGCGATCTCTTATAGTACGTAATCATATATTATTCGTATGATAGATTAATTTTATAGAACTACTGTTTTGACGAGACGAACTAGCTTATATAGTGTAATAATTATTACAGTAAAAAATGATCTATATTTAACTATTAGACAGCAAGGTTGAGTGAACTAGTAGTTGATATTCCATGTCATGAGGCTGTACTCGGTACAAAAACCGACATAAAAAAAAACTTTTCTCAACATTTTTTTTTTTAATATTTTCAAGTCACTCGATGCAACCATGGTGTAACATGAATATATCACATTTGAATAGCCAATCAGAATGCTCGATTTATGATAGTCCATACTATAGCTTGGTGGATAGCAATAACTAATTGATCGTTCAGATACATTGATGGTCCCTTTAAATTATTGTAACAGTTTAATATTTAACAGATAGATCTCATTTTTCTGTGCGTGTGTACTCTAATAGATACACAGATGACGTCAAAATGTAGTAAGAACAAAAAAGTACGCACGAGACGCAGTCGAGTGCGTGACTGTTGTTCTCACTACATTTTGACGTCATCTGTGTATCTATTAGAGTACACACGCACGGAAAAATGAGATCTATCTGTTTTATACAACAAACAATTAGTTTTGACGCAATCTGTGTATCTATACTTTGATAACACACGAAAGCCAACCAATCAAAACGTCTGATTTTACTGAAAAGTTGTATAATATTATATATATTTGCAGTTGATCCATATTGCTGGTGTGGTGGTTTTGACACAAATGTTGTTACATCCAGAGATGTATGAAGAACGATACTATCATACCTATGGTACTGTGCCGCGATCTGGTAAGAACTTGCCTGGAATTGTACCATAGCTAAGATTCCACACTAACAGCAYCCAACCGAAACACAAACAATAACCATTTGTCTTATCAATAGGATAGTGTATGTTATTATGTTTTATAAAGAAGCCAGTTATATTTTAGTTATACTATCCTCTAATACATCACAATTTATATTTCCAGCTGATAACTCAGTTGCTCTTGCCATTGCATTTTGTTCCTTTGTTATCACTACTCTGCTTATTTATGGAGCAATTACGGTAAGTATTAAAACCAACAATTTTGCCTTATTCACTAATAGAATACTGTAGATGGAATCTAAGCAAGGTAAAATAAGTGCTAGGTGAAACGAAATAGATGAGAAAATGCCGTTTAAGGAACAGTGTTTACAAATGGAAAACTACTTTGTTTGCTGACGTTCCTTGGCAAGCTCATGACAAATAGACTTCTTTACCACATAAGAACATTCCTTCTCATATAATAAGATTTTATCAGGGTAAAAACTAAAAGCCAGTAAAAGTCCCATATCTATTTCAAATGATTAAATGTGTATCTTGAGCAGATAGTTTTATGACTTATTTTTAATTTCTTTCTTCAGCGTCAACCAAGCTATCTTTTACCGTTTTTCTGTCTCCAAATGTTTGATTTCTGTGTCAATCTGTTGGGAGCTGTCGGCGCTGTGAGTTACATCCCAGAGATCAAATTAATGATAAAAAATAATGTAAGTATATTTACTTATACATGTTACTGCTGGAATACATAAAATGGTTGCACACTTAAAACAACCATCCAAACAATTTTGATCATGTAACACCTTTATTTTTTTTGGGATTAATTGTCTAAAAACTATTGTCCTATGAGTTGAGTCACATGAGTTGGTTGTCAATGACGTTTTTTTTTTCTTGGATTGACATAATTTCCTATTATATGTACATGGATCATTTGGGGTCACTATAAAGKGACATTTTGTGATTATAAGATTGTATAGTGTATTGCATTTCTGTAAGAATATGAATTTAGTCACTTATATTTATCATTATGTCAATTTTTGATTTTAAATTAAAATTGTCTTATTTTAGCCAAACTTCCCTTATGGAGAAGAAGTTGACAGAGTTGACATGAGGTCATTGATGATGACGGTGATCTTGCTATGTCTTATTGTGCTCCTTATTAAGGTATGTATGTTAAAGACATTAATGAACCTGATTTAAACCTGGACAAATTAATGTTTTTCGTGAGTTCAATGGTAAAAAAAGAGTTCATAATTGTGTAATTTGTTGGATTTCTGTTAATTTGTAATAATTTTATGACTAAAATTCCGTTGTTTAAGAATTTTTGATTATTTATGTTGACTCATCTTTGCCATAAATTATTGTAAAAATACTAAAATCATAACTTGAAAAAAATGCTGAAATGTTAAATGTATAGCCTTGCAGTGGTGTACAATGCCAGAACCCCTTTACCTACATGTAATAGAGCCAGTTGTAAATAATTTACATGTAGGATACTTTTTTTTTTAAAAAAAAGCATCTTTTCTTCTCAGGGCTACCTTATTGCCTGCGTGTGGTCTTGCTACAAATCTCTTGTAAACTACCGGGTCAAACAAGCCACTCGCACATTCATGCTGGAAGTTGAAGGCGATGATACTGAGGTATGTGACTCTCTAATAATGATTATATTCACACAGGGATTTTTCAGTTCTGTTATAATTTTAAAATTGTGGAAATGTAATTGTTTATGAATTATGTTTTAGCGCATGTGGAAAAGTGTGGCCACTGTGAATGTATTCCGCATACTTTCCAATAACCATGTGTTGTCTGTCTGGGATCAAGAAGCTAATTCACTACAAGTGGCTGCTTTTATGCATTGTGCTGTAACTCTTTGAAATTTCAATGGGCTATAGGCAAATTTTAAAATCTAAAGAATTAAAATCCAAAAAAGAAAAAAAAAAAGAAAATCTAAGTTAGACAAAAGGTAAAAGCTATATTTAGTTTTGTTTGAATTATTACAGACCCATGTCTTGCTACCAAACTATGAAGATGCCGTGAAAGACACTCCAAAGGAGAGCCCACCACCCTACACTACATCCAGTTAGATCGTCTGAATCATTCATTGATACTTTGCCCTTAACATTGTAATACTCTTAAGACTACATACCTTAATTATTCCTTTATTGAGTGAGGTTAAAAGTCCTGTGTGTAATTAGAAGTCGCTTTTTCCATTGTCTTTTTTGACTGTTAGGGTGAACACACTTAATCCATGAAATTTTGCTAAATCTCATTTTGTGCAATTTTGTTATGCAATTTAGTAAATGGTGTTCATAAAGAAGGATGGTGATTCAAAGAGTACTACTCTTCACAAGAAAATTTGTATTAATTTTGTATAATTTCACAGATTAAGTATGCTCACTCAACTTTGTCCATTTGATTTTGATTTTAACAATTATAAATATTGAGCAATACAATGAAGCATTTTTCTTGATAAAGGTTAAGCATAGATGCTCAGATGAAGTTGATATAAAAATCCACATAGTTTGTCCTTACATTAGGTTTCCCTTATTATAACAATGTGTTTAAAAGAAGTGGTTTATTGCAATTTTTCACAAAAGAAGTTAGTTTAGTTACTCTGCGTGGGAACCCAGTAATTTCTGTCACTCATTCCCAGCTCCCAGTGGCTATGCCTCTATGGAATAGAAGAACAAGGACAGAAAATTACCCCTAAGTTCCCGAGGATGAATAGTGACAAGACAGATTTTTCAACATAAGTTTGAGAGTGCTTCTTGATTAATATAAAATAAAAGAAACGAGCAAGAAAAGTGGGATGTAGAAAGGTAAAAAATATATTTAAATAAGTATATTATAAGCAGTGTGCGTTAATCAATGTACACAAATGTGTACAGCATAAATTAATAGATTAGTGATGCTATAAATAATGAATTTTACTCTTGTGTAAGAATTGTGTAAGATTGTCTTTTAAGGATAATCACTATTGATTTTAGAATAAAGATAATTAGCTAAACGAGACGTCCAGTACTATTCAAAGCGGTTCATATGAACAACAATAAGCGGTCCACGCTCGTCCACGCGTTGAAAATGCAAACTGCGCTAGAAAACGAAAACTTTTCATTTGCAGGTCTCGCGTGTCTATCATCGCTGAGTAAGACCTAGCCATGTGGGATGGGATCGGTGGGATGGGATCGTGCCTCGAAGAGCATRGGTAATCCGTCCATGTAAGCCTGACTAGACATTTTGTTTTAAGAAATCAGTCGTAAACCGATATTATTTGAATTATAGAACAACAAAATTGTCAGGCTTTGTGAATTCTATCATATTGGCACGGGACATTTGGATTGACAGCTAAGATTATTTTAACATATTCCATACTGGTTCCCATATAAACCTCCCTTTCCTACAGCCTTAATTATAATGTTTGTTTGTTTTTTGTTTTGTTTATTTTTTATTTGTCTGTTTGAGGGGGTGGGTATACGGTGGGGGCACACATGGTATAATATAGCCTCCTCCGCAGGCATCACTAAGAATCACGGGCTTCCTGTAGAATCACGGGCTTCCTGTCTTTTTGAGGAGTCAAAAGAGGGAGAATGGGGGCGAGAAAAGTTATTTTTGCTATCTCGTCACTAGTCCCTAACGGCCAAAATGACCGTTACAAAGGAAGCCCAAAGGAGGAAAAAAGAGTTGCCTGTGGAGGAGGCTAGGTATAATACATGAAACATTAAATTATTTCCTACACACTTTATTAAATTTGGCAAAATCCTACTCTAATGATAAGTATTTTCTGATGTGATATTATAAAATATATTTACAAGATATTTTTCCGGGTGGCTCATACTTAGTCCAGATTATCAGGTATATGAAATGGTGTATTTCGTATTCGTGCAATCAGCGATTTTTGTATCATCAGCATTCGTCTGATTTGTCGTGTTCGTCGTCCAAATTGACAATTGTTTATCTGTTCAGAAATAATAGTTATCATAGTCCAGTTTGCTGGAAAAAAAAAATAAGGAAACGGATGCATCCTACGTCTTGCCGGAAACGGAATTTACAGTTTTTATTATGTATACTTCGGGGGGGTATGGTAGTGAGGAGAAGAGTGATGATAGAAAAGTGAAGTATACATAATGATTGCAGTAAAAAAACTCAAGCTTTTTCAGGTTCGGAAAATATAAAAACTATTCGTCTATGATACAATATCTTTGCAAAGGTTCAGATCAGTTTCCATAGTAACTTACCCCATGGTAAGAACATGATTCTTGAGCAAGCAGATGCCCTCTTTCAGTGTATACCTGAGAAAGACAAACACGCTATGAAACCCGGTGGGGACGAGGAGGAGGGAGAGTCCGGGGTAAAAGTAACGGGGATGCTCGTCGAAACTATTAGGTGATTGGGAATCTTTTTAGGGTGCCAATTTAAGTGTAAATCAGTGGAAATTTGCATTATTTTTGCAATCTCTTAGGGTGTCGGAAAAGAAAAGAAAGAGCGCATCGATATCGATTTTCCTCGGCGTTTTGTTTTGTCAATAAGTAACAATGCGCTAAAGAACTAGGGAACTCTCTATTGTTCTGCGGCATAGCAAGTTCCCCATGTACGAATGTCTTGGTTTTCACACTGATTATGTATCCATCTGTGGGTAACACATTTTTGAAATAAAATGTGGATAGTAAACTCTATTTTGAAACAAAGTTTCTTTTGTATTAAAAGCTCTTATCCAATCATAAGCACTCAAAACAATATAGCCAAAAGATGCTTCTAATTTGCAATGTTCCCCACATAGAATTGCCTTAATATTGAAGCTAAAGAAAGCTTTCATGAAAGCGAAAACAGACATTAAATAAAATATTAGAAAATTCGCTCACTTGTGAAATTATGGCAGATTTTCATGTTTTAACCAATGGGATGGATGGATTATACAATGCGCAATTAGCACCTTCTTGCATTCCTGTGCCGTTTGCTTCCCTAGTTCGTACTCGGGGCGTTACTTAAATATCTTCATGCATGTTATCATTGGAACTGATTTAATTTATGGAGTGTCTACGGAGTCAGGTGTTTACCATTTACACAAAATTTCCGGAAATTTTCGGTTCAATGACCACAATTGTAAATGGAACAACTTTTCCCGATTTATTTGCATAACAAATTATCGGGAATTCCGTTTTGAAGCTTATTGGAACGCATCCCATTCCAAATTTTCAACGTGAATTTCCGGTAAACTTTGGTGCTGGTCAAAGA